GGAATTATAAAAGACAATCAACCCAATTTTATATATCTATTATTCAATATTCATATCTCTCTTTCAAAGAGTCACAGAGTAAATAATTATTTGAGAAGTATTATTGGGTGTATTTTGTAATAGCTTTATCGACCATGGATAGATCATAAATATGGAATCTTTCAAAGTGTAAGAAAACAAAAAAATATTCTGTTTTTTTTTAAGGATGGTATGGGCCTCCATGATTTCTCCATCTATTTCTATTATGTCGGTCGGAAGTATGAAAATGCATGATCAATATGAGAAATACATGTTTTCTTACAACGTTGAACTTCCGATTGGTGCTTGGTATTAACTACAAGTCGTATGCTTAGTATTATTAATATTCATTATTAAGTAGGAATCGAAGGTTTTAGAAAAAGGAGCTGGATATTCATTTGCTCTGATAATTGGCTCATATTGCCACCCAAAAACAATGAGTGTTAAATATCTCTAAATACACCAAAAAGAACATTTATGAAAGTGCTATGATTGCGTTAAAAGACTAACTGATATTATTTTCATATTTACTATGGTTCTACTATTTTTCAAAATAAAATATAGACATAGTCACCGACATTTTTGGAGAGTTTCCTCTTTTGTTTTCGTTGTCTCTGTTCATTTAAATAAATAGAACGAAAAGATAGAAGAGGTATTAATTTGGTCATGTGTTAAAAGTCGGGTCTACTACAATATCCTTCCGCCTCGTCGAATTTCATCAACTTCGCCACGGGGTTATTTCACGTTGCACGCTCTACTTAAGAGGGTGCCTATTGTTTGACACAGCCTCTTGTTGGGGATTATTCGTGCTCCCCTAACGTCACACTGCCATTCTTTTCGCCTCTCACGCAATGATTGATGACTATAGCTCTCTTTAGAAAAACTTGATTACTTCGTTTTCTTTTATTTGCTCCTTGCCTCTTACTTTTAAAAGACTTCTGGTGAAAAGGCGGATTTATTTTGTCTTCTGTGAATTTGATAAGCGGTGTCGACATCAAGTTACCGCGTGCACTTATGTGACGTCAGAAAAGATAACGTCAATATATGATTTTCATATTACAAGCAATTTAAAGATGGAATAGGCGATATATTCAAAGATATCTTTTTTTGTTAAATGATAATTATAAGAAGCTTCGGCTTGTTTCTGAAACCATACCTTATATAGCTTACATATTTACATTAACTTGTAATTTATGTATAAATTTTGTTTTAAAATTATAATTTGAGTATTTCCGTAACGAATGGTTTTATATTAATAAATATTTTCTACCCATCAAAATAGTCTTTCAATATTTCAACATTGTTAAAGCGAAATATTCATTTTTTGGGTGAATTGGTGATGTCTCTTTTGTTTTATACACCCGTTGAGATCAATCCTTTAATTTTCTTTACTTTTTTATTGATATAATTTGAACGTACCTATGTAGATTTTTTAGTATTTAATTTGCAGTAATATTTGAGGAATACGAAATAAACCAATCAGGTGTTCGAATAGCAAAGACCTTTGAACCTGAGAAAAATGTAATAATATAATTAACAGCTCCAATAACAAATTTCCCTCACAATAAGCCTCTTTCTGACAAGGTCAGGCAAAGGTCAACTTTTAATTTGTACCGGATATATTGACATTCAACACTGGATGATTCGAGATACAACACAGAGAGCTCGATTACAATTTTTTGTGGTGATGGGATAAGTTCAAGAAAAATGCTTAATTCACGGGTCATCATGACCATCAAGCATTTTTTTTCTTTCACAAATTTATCTTGTATCTGAAAATTAGGGAACCCGAATTGTTTTTACGTTTTGTTGATCATGTCTATGATACGAAAAATTGATCTGTATAAATAGATCTACGATAAGAATGATGGGACAATTACCTTTGCGTTGTGGTAAGGACTATATTTAAAACCAATTCTGATCATCCAGGCCCACTAAAATGAACAAGATGGAGGATCTTAAAATGACGACTCATTAAAATAACTTCAATACATAAATAATTATGGATCCCCCTTGAATTTGAAGGCTCAAATTTCTGTGACAAGCTGTGAACATTATTACTGATTAGAATAGCGAAAAAAATCGACGTTTCTGAGATCAATTCGATTTACACCAGGAAACGCCTTTAACAAAATTTTGCCAGCAGACTGGTTCTACAGTCTGGTTTATTCTACCACCTTACGTAGCTAATAAGTCTTGACATAAATAAGTAAAAACACATTCTTGATATCAGTATCATTATTTAATATTAAACATAATATTTGGCATTTCTTTTAATAGCAGTAATGATGTCATCACATAAATCAACTTTAAGTCAATTATTTACATAAAGTTTCAAAATATATTATATACCGGAAAGATATACTCAAAGAAATAAAAGCAAAAATGATATACTAAGAACTACATTTAGTTTCTGAGTTAATCACATTAAGGTACATTTTCTGGCATATAAGAACGATTTGAATTTTAATGAATTGAATTCGAATCCACACAGTTATCGAAAATAAAGTATTTCCAGAGGCTTCGCAATGACATGGAGTCTTAGTACTACATTTCTGCATCTGATTGGGATAATCAAGACAGATGTCCTTTAAAGAAATCCAGAAAGATGATTGTCAAATACTGTGACAAAAACATTTTTTACAAATCATAGTGTCACAGAAACCTTTTTTGTTGCCTTAGAATATACAATCTACATTACTTTAATGTCTTGTATGAGACTTTGACCAGAGATAATGTCGATCAATCAATCAATACTACTATAATCTAGAATATACACTACTCTCACTTAATAATTCTGTCTTCAACATAGAGAAATAAATTAACAACAGTCTTATACTATAATATATAACTATTTACACTTCTGGTTGTTATTAGCTCCGGCGGAAGTGACTATACGGTGATTGTCATATACCACCCATTGAGCCCACCACCATTGGCAACGGGTTGTTAATAGGCGAGACATTAGGAGACACATTCCCATTCACAGGAGATAGCGATTTCTTTTTATCTTGATCACGTTTCACCAAATTCAATGGTTCGTCCATTCGAGCCAATTTTCGTTGGCGAATTTCCTCACAAATATCACTAGAACTAGAGTCTATTGTGGGAATAGGTCTCTTATCAGTTTGTACTTTGGTATAAGCCATTGATAAGCGTAGATCTGGGTTCAATGGTGGAGAAGTTCTAATATCCTCCTTTGGAAGAATTGGTTTAGGTGCAATGGGTTTTAAGTTATTTGATTCACTGCCTACTGAGACAGGGGTCGCAGGTCGAGATGAACCATTAACATTCGGAGTATTTGGTTTAGAAACGCCATTTAATTTGGGAGTATTAGGTCTGGAGTCGTTGCTTTCATTTTGAGTAACAGGTCTGGTATTGTTACCCATTTGTGGAGTTGGGGGTCTAGAAATAGAATTAGCCTTTGGTGTTGCTGGTCGTCCATTTGTTTTTGACGTATTCGGCACTGGCATGCCGGTAACATTAGGCATAGGGTGCATTGCCTTTCCATTAAACGAAGCACAATTGTTAGATTTTTTTTCAACATTTGTAGAGGATGATTTCACAGAGAGAGTATTAGCACTTTTGGATCCCAAATGACTGAGCATCATACTATCATTTGGTCTAACACTACGAATCACAGCGCCTTCTGGTACAGAACTAAGGTCCATCATGTTTACTTTCAAAGGTCCATTACCATTGCCATTTCCAATATTAGCGGTTACAGTTTTCGGAGTAACACATTTCGGTTGCTTGTATGCGACACTTGTGGGTTTTTTAATAGTTTCCGCGGATTTGGCAGTTAATTGGACCGTGCTGCCGACGGGAGACGCAGTTGAAGTTGCTGCAACTTGTTTTGCTGCGATTTGTCGGACAGTTTTTACACTTCCATTACAAGTTTGATTAGATAAAGTTGTTTTAGCCTTGGCAATTGTGTTCTGTGGTGGAATTACTGATACTGAAATAGGCACCTGCTGCCCCATGCTTGTATTTGGTTTGGTAGTTACAGTTGTGACTGAATACGTAGTATTGTCTGAGTTCTGGAAAGCAGTCTGCTGTAAATTTGGTCTTTGAGTGACTTTAACTGGGGCGGCACTGGTCACTTGATTTAGTACAGTCTTGTTGTTGACTAGTAGACGAACGGTCTGAACCGGTCCATGTTTCTCAGCTGGTTTTACTGCATTCGGAGACTGGACTGTCAATGGATTCTTTATCTCAGAATGTTGATTCAGAAGCCGATTTGGGCTTGGATTCGTTTGAATTTTTGGAGCAATCTTAGCGGGTTGGTAGCTCAGTCGTTTAAGGGTTGATTTCTGGTTTTGCTTTGGAGGCTTTACAACCGTCGTTTTCGAAAGGGTTTTAGATTTTGGGCAATTCTGAGGAGGAAGTTTTGACGTTAATGTTGTCTGGATGAAAGGTCTAGGTGATGTTTGATTTTGCTTTTTTGAGACAACAAGTGTAGCGGGCAATGGTTGCCCATGAAAAGTTGCTGGTGGGATGATCTTAGAATGAAGCTTAGTAGTACTGGTAGAAGTTCGATTAAGGCTTGGATTCCAATCTTTAGTAGCTGTTGGAGTTAAAAACGTATGTTTGTCTGTGCCTTCAGACAATTTAACTTTCTGTGGTTCACTGCAGCCTTCATCGACTTCTTCCTTGGTTTGCGTTTCAGCTGATGCCATTAATTTGCTGGTTACTGATACCGTTTCCTCTACTTTCCTTTTCTTTACGATGTTTTCGTAAATGGAGTAGTAAAGTCTTAAAGGTTCAAGCTGAAAGAAGAATATTAGAAACATTAAGTAACAGAGCAATGCCTTGTACTTTTAGAAGTCGGGTTTAAGTGCGCACTGTTTGCAAAACAAAAATGAAGCAAGAAAACCATCTATGTATGTATTTCATGTCTCGTGTCAATTTACACAACTAAGAGATATACAACGTAGTAGATCTTAACTCACCCTTTTCCAAGCGAAGATACAAGCTACATCTAATAGAGTATATAAATCTGACAACACTTCTTTCTTATGGTAGACATCGATCTGAAAAAATTACAAATAATGATGACTCAATACTCAAATACTTACTTCAAAGGAGAAGCTTCATCCTTTATCTTAATACAGCTCCGTTGATGCTTTCTGTAAATTCTAAAGAAATAGACTTAACGAAATGATTGCATCGGATTTAACCCTTGCTCACACAACGACGTATTTTCAAATATGTCTCACCCTGCATCTTGCTGGTAACTCAAACTTCAATCTAATAAATTTCTTTAAATGTGCTACAGTAAGAGCACCGGGACATTGTAAATATCGTATATCTGTTGTCCTCTGTTTCTCTGTCTTATCAATCTTGGTCTTTTTATCACTTGATTTCACCCCGACTGTGTCAGGAATACCTCTGGAAATTTCAAAAAGATTTCAAATAACCAAATCAACTACTAGTTCTCATATCCGATTCGGTGTAATCAGGGTGTTTGATACATTATTATCTCGAAAAAAGTTGAATTGTTACTTTAACTCTGGAATCATAATATACATCAGTATCTGAAAATTTCGAACCAAAATTAAACGCAAAGCGAAACACTATGTGATATTAAAACACTGATTCTTATCACAAACAATACAAACAACTTACTCTCTCCAATATTCCAGAGCTAAACTAATCTTCTCATTTTCAGTAAATATAAATCTTTCTGCCATTTCATCACCCCTCTTTTCGCTTGGTGAATTGGTGTCATCTGCAATATATTCAATCACACGAGTGTTAATTACCGAGTTTTTCTCAGCAGTATTCAATGCAACTTGTGTAAAATAATACGATGAGAGAATATTGTAAGAAGAGCGCGATTGTAAAACAGATAAAATGATGTCATGTTTTATTACGTAACTTTTCCTACAAAGATGGCATTATGTGGTATAAATTATACAATGGTCGAATAGCATATAGATTTGTTATGATTTTATCACTGACCAACCAATCAAATGGTGACCGTATCTATGACTCGACCGACAAAAATATTCTTATACAGAAAAACACATAAGACTAAGTAATAACCCACAATTCCCATCATTTGACTTGAGTGTAACTCAATATTTGAATGATGAAACCACGGGGATTCCAACAGAATTGGTTTGATATTCTTTCACAGTGGAACCGATACTGAATGGTTTAATTGTAACCCGAGTCATATCTCTTTTACCTAAATTACTATCTTTCATTTTCCTTCAAGACATGACCGAAATTCAACCATTTTTAACGAAATTGAGATAAAGGGATAAATTGAAAATTCGTGGTTCTATATAAAAACTAACCGTGTGCTTGATGTAAAGACTCACTAATTGCCCTAAGTACACAATGTGTTGTGAATAAAATAAAATTTGTCTCTATGGTAATGGTCATAAGAATGACGCAAAAATACTGAAAACTGACTACAATAAATTCCATCCAACTTAGTTTGATCAAGACTGATGGCGTAGACGTTTCTATCCAGATAAATAGGAAATTTGTGAGTCAAAACCTACCTTTATTAGGATACTGGCTATAGAATTCTCGTCGTCTCCGCATCTCATCTACAAAGAAAATTATATTCTTTTTAAAGAACCGTAATCAATTGTTTGTCTTCTTTGATACTGTACCTCAATGGATGAAAAGCACGAGTGAGTTAATGGGCTTTGGTCATGAAAGGGATGATCAGGTGCAGATGAAAACATAAGTCCTGAATTCCCGCTGTTATAATAACATAATATACAGTATACAAGTCAAGCTTATTCTGTATCGAACACCTGGTACACTATAAATAATGACGTCATTGACTCCCTCTTGATCTAAAACTGCCAGACGTTTAGCGGTTAACTGTTCAATAAAGCACTCAAATTTTCAAACTGAACATGAACCCCAAACACTAGCGCCATCTTCAAGACAAATTTCCCTGTTGTTATGCCAATGAATGTTTACCTACATAAAAATGCAAGTAGGCTAATGCTAATATTGTCACGAAAATATTCTTAAATCTTTTTAGAATATTCAGATACTTACTTTTATATAATCCAGGTACCAATTTATAAACAATATCTTGTAATGTTTTATCAGACCTATTATAAAAGAGAGACAGTATTTCATGCTTATTTGAATGGTGTTGATCAACAATGTGTATCCGGAGATGGGTCTTTAATCTTTGCATATTTTTCATTAATTACATCAAATAAAAACATTTGCTATGAAAAAAAACTTGCAAAGGGCAGATGTGAGCGACATTTTTACAGGGCAATACTAACCATAGTTAGTATGTCATCTGCTTAAACTCAATTTTGATAAATACATGTTTCTCCTTATAATGATTAACTACGAAAATGTCTATCAAAATGTTAATCAGCCCACTTATAAATCATTAGAGATATGCGCTAAAAAATATAGTTTTTTTTATACTGACCTGATATTTAAGCGAGGTCGTGTTTTATGTATGAGTACGTCACAGCTAGGGCACGTCTTGTTGGATTCGAGATAACGTATTATACACGTTTTGCAAACTAAAACAAATAAAAACAGTTGTTACAATATATAAATGTAACGACAGGGTGCAAGATTTAAAAGAACAGACACAAAATAAAAAAGAAATATTTATTTGCGCGAGTTTTACATCATTCTGGATAAAATACAAACTCTAAATTTGTTACTATTCTCCTTCGTTTCGTTACTGCTCTATTTCGTTCAGATGTTACTCTATCTCGTCATTGGTCTTAGATGGTGATGGGTCTATCCCGTTTCGTTGTTACACTACCTCGTTTCGTTATATTACTCTACCTTGTTTCGTTATTAATTACCTCGTTTCGCTCAAACTCCATCCGGCTTCGCTATTACTCTACCTTGTTTCGTTATTACTCTACCTTGTTTCGTTATAATTCTACCTCGTTTCTTTATTAATTACCTCGTTTCGCTGTAACTCCACCCCGTTTCGCTATTACTCAACCTCGTTTCGTTTTAACTCCATCTCCTTTCGTTATCACTGAATCGCGTTTCATTATTAATAGTTTCGTTAAAACTCTATATCTTTACGTTACTTATCTTACTCGTTTCGTTCTTACTCTTACTCGTTTATTTGCTATCAGATTTCAATATCAGAACACTTACAGGAATGTAGACATTCTATTATAGTTGTAGCATCCACAAAATATCCACCACATAAAACACATAGTAGATGTGGATTAACATCCCCAATTTTGATCTTTTTTGATCTGTGCATCTGAAATACAGAATTGAATATTCATCAAAAATCATATTATGCTGTTATAATATTATTCATTATATATAAGCATACTTACTTAGAAAGTGAGAGTAACGGAGATAAAAGAAACGTTCAAGCAATTTGTTCAGGAGAAATTGAATAATCAATCATTGAATTAAGGACGGTTATCTTCCCCTTTCATCGCACGAGATGGCCTGGAGCCAATTCCTTTGAAGAAGCCGTCAGGAAAAAATAAAGCTAGTGGTCTGAACCACAGTGTAACAAAGAGGATTCTTTAGTCGGTCTGCTTCAAGTGGACAATAGAATTAAGAATGCTTATATTATTATAGAAAACAATGTTAGTTATATACCGAGGTGGACAGAGGTCAAACAATTTACATTTGTAATTAATAAACCATAAAATATATTACATGGGAAAATAGACGTATCGGGTAATGCGGATTTACCGGTTTGTTGTTCTTAATTAATGCTAGTAGAGACCCAAAAATCGTTGACTTTAAATCAAAGTCTACTATCTTGGTCTTCAGGTTATGTTGAAAGCCACGTTTATTTAGAGCGTAATATTTATTAACATCACCATATCATTTTCATAGCAGGAAAACATTAGATATATTTTTTTTTCTCTCGAGACTCTAATCAAAGTTTTATTGTCAGAAAATGATTTATTGTGATGCACTCACTGTTTTTATTCTAATATTCTCTACAAAGTATAAATTATTACAACTCCCACATTACTGCTGGCTTAAGAAAAAGGCTTTAGAAAACATCATGGAACTGATTTCTAAACTATCGATCTAAACTTGTCTGTGTGACAGTGCTAGTAAAGAAGCGATAAAAGTAAATAAACCTATGATAAAAGTAGTTTCAAAGATGATATCAAATTGTTTTCTGTACCGATTTACTGGTGGGACCTAAATACAATCCAATGTGGTGCAATCATAAGTTCCATTCCAATCGTTAACATAACGTTGGTCATAACTAAAACTCGGCTGACAAAACACGATCATCGAATGGTAAATGGCAATCATAATCCAGCTAAGACGTAGTGAATACCGGAAATAAGCTTGTAGGATGTCCATTAATAATTGACCATTCGTAATTGGTCACTTGGTCAGTATGAGTTGAACCCACTCAATCATATGACGTGTTAATAGTTTCTAGATAGTCTGGGTTTTGTCTATTTTACTCCATTATTTTCTCATCTGCTCGTGATGTGTGACTATTCTAGCGGGAATTAAGAATATATTCCAGTTGGATAAAAGTAATGGAAAGAGCATTTTGAAATCCATTGGTTTTGCCTTTTTCTTCATCAAAAAATGTATTCCAAAACAAAATGACAAATGACACTGTTTACGCTTTGATTAAATATCGGATACATGAAAAAGCAACTTATACATTATGCTATATTAAGCTATATATATATTATTCCAATCCAACGACAGAATTGAATTTTTATCAAATAAAGGTTCAAAATAACATATTCACATACGTTTGCTTGCAAATATACAATAATTTTTTTGTAATTGACTGTCTTTTTGTGCAATATCTCGTATAATATATTCATTATTTGGAAATGAATAAAATATTATAAAAATCGATTTTCCTGTCTGGTGGTTGATGTCAATTTTTAATAATGAATAGAGAAATGAAACATTCATTACTGCATTGTTGTCGTACAGCCTCACATATGATTGTGACGTTGATATATAATATTTCATTATTCCTTCGATTTAATGTTGATATATATGAATGAGGCAGTTTATTTTTGGGGGAATGTAACGTTTCCTTACAGGTGTTATTTCAAATTTTATTAGCAGTGTTCTTGGAACTTTGAAGAAATTTTAATTGCATAGATAAATTTATATAGTGTGTTAATAATAAAACAGCACCTTTGTCTACAGATGCTTCTAAATAATGTTTCACGTGGTATTATCTCGGCACTTCTAAATAAAGCACCTTTAAAGAATGTTCATCATGTACAAACCTGCAAACTAACTTAGATTCCTATTTATCTTGCCTTACAGTTAATCAACGACACATGTCATGATATTGGCACATTTATACAAATCATGTGTCATTTACGCCGGAATAAACAGTCTCCTTACATCCATATTATCTCTCTTGTTTCCCACAGAAAAAAAGAACACTTGTGACATCATCGAAATAATAGAGTGCATTGTTCAGAAACCCCCTACTTTTCAATTCTCACGTTATCAAACCGAGACTCATTTCAAAAAGGGGTAGTAAATTTTACTCCGGGGTCAACTTGTCAAAAGTATGAGGTCAAGTGACAGGTATTTTTATGAGTAGTTGGTCACTTAGTGGGTGTTTTATGTCGCAAAGAAAACATCATAACTGTCACATTATCCCAGACCACAATATACAAACATTATATAAATTTATTCAGATTTCTCTAATTCCCAAAAATAAAGATGAATTGAGTGCCATACACAGTGACTGCCAAAAAGAGTCATCGTAATAAGATGAGAAGCCAGTTTTAAGAAGATTCCTCACTTTGATGCAGGATGTATGTATTTCTTCGGTATAAAAAATACTATTGGTCCCAATGATTTTTTTTTATCTTTGTTGAATGAACCTACTTTGTTTAAAAATGTGAATACCAAACTTCTTGATTTCGTTGAAAAGTTAATAAACTATATTTATAGCACGTCAAGTGACAAGACTATTGATTAAGTGGTTTAATATATTTACAATGTCAATAAGGTGATTAGAAACAGATAATACATAGCTCAAGGCAACATGTGATTTATACAGGTTATTACAAAAAGGAATTCAATACAAAATACTAATTACTAATCTCAATCATTGTCATATTTTATAGAAATCGATATCATTGCATGTTAATTTAAAATAATATTGTTTTCAAACAAAGCACACCTAACTACATTTCAATACGTTATATTTTCACGTATCCATGAATACGTATAAGTTAATATAAGCATTTTTTTAATTATAAATCATCAAAATACGTGTTGACATACATAGTTATTGTGCTCTGATCACACTGCTTTGTTTTAGAGCTTTACACTTACAGTGTTTCAATGAATTAAAATGTATTCAATTATCTCAAAGTGAATAAAACTGTGCTGAAATATATCAAATTGTATTAAAAGATTTTAAATTGTGTTGTTATATATCAAATTATGCTACACCATATCAACTATGCTGGAATATAAAATGAATCTTGAAATATCATTTTTTAAAAATATATGATTTGAATATATTATAGAATTGAAAAATCAGCATGCCATGTGTTTACCTTCGGTTTGTGGAGTTCTTTTTAACTAATGCTAAATAATTTATAGAACTATCTTGTGATATTCAAATATTCGTTTATTTGTCATTTCCTAAAATTTTCAACACTACATTAAGTGCATTTGAAAGTGCATATTGGGTTGAGTGAATGATTACATGCCCATATGGGGTCCTTTCCCATGCTGATGATTATCTTAAAATTATAGTCATGGTTTCCATTTTATGACGTCAAAACAAGACCAGTATTGTATTTTAAATCATATTATCAAAGTAAACGGCGTAAAAACTAACTTTTCATTACCTTACAATTTTATTTTACTGATTACAAATTAAGTTAAAAATTCATAGCAAATGAAAGATTGGTATCGTTTTAAACGCCTTTGACAAGTTTCATTACTACCCTAATCCCACCTCCCTGTAGGGGTTTTAATCACGGGCATTAGGCGAACAAACCCCTAATATAATATGCAAATTACACAGTCTTCACAAAAGGAGATAGAAAGGAATGTCACGCCAGCTCCTAAACACGAAGAGTGACCAAAGGTGAGGTCCAGCTGTCGTCCATGTGGTTACAGCACGGACACCTCTTGCGACGTGACGTCATCAATCAGTTCGTTTGCCACAAGGACAATACCAGATGACCTTGAAGATATTAAAATAAAAAAGGTCAAGTTCAACAAACGAGTTAAAAATCTTTATCTGTCCATTTTTAATAGGTCACAGAAATTACATTAACTACATCTATTGCCCCTTCGGTTCTTTCAGTTATTCCCCTCACATGTCTTCATCTTTTGCATTAATGTTATCTATATGTACATTACTTCATATTTCTCACGACCTTTATTGAAACGTTGACAGTAATAAATATTCCAGAATGTATCTATCCACAGTACTTATTTGACAGAACTACATAAGAACATCAGATATCTATTCTTATGTCAGAACTAACAGAGAGTAAAGAGTAAATCATTGATGCAAAATTTCCTATCTTCATTCTGGTTGCCATGGTAAATAATCAAATAGTTGACAACTACAGACACTTGAGCTCCTAAGTTGATTTAAAACGAGGTTAAAATGGTATTTATTGGTCAACTGTGGATAAACGAAAAACGATGACATAGCACGTACCATGAGGCCAACCTATCGCGTATTTCATTGGTGGATACTCACGTTTAACAAAGTCTTTCTTCGATTTTCCGATATTTTTCATTTTCTCGAAGAAGGCTATCTAATTAAATGACAAGCAAGCGAAATTTTCACGTATTTGTTATAAAACAGACAGTTATATAGAGGCTCAGTGAGATTGATGGGTTGAATGGAAATTGACATGACGTTAGTAAACTCAATTGCAATTTCACGTCATATTGTTACGTCAGTGACACACAAGATGTTTAGAAACGTGATTACCAAACATGGTGATTTTATTATTCGTGGAAAAGTCGTAGCAAAGTCTGATATGAAACTGATTATGAGAAATATTCATAATCCTAGTACATCTGCGATATCATTTAATGCAGCTTCGCAGTAGTTATTTAAAATTCGATACGTCATATCGCACGATGCTATGATACGAAGCTTATAAAAATATATTTGAAATCTGCAGACTCGATTAGGATCGATCTGACGTCATTCCCAGCCGATTATCTAAGAGTAAATCCATTATATTTTGTACATAGTTAAGATTCGAAAATTCTTATCACATCATTTATTGAGTATAAAAA